CTTCTTTCTTCTTTCTTCTTTCTTCTTTCTTCTTTCTTCTTTCTTCTTTCTTCTTTCTTTCCTTCACTCATACCTCACTTTCTCTCCGAATATATTTACTTCTCTCAACCACTCTCTTCCGATCCGGGAGAAAGGAAGCGTTTTTTCAATTAACTTTGAGACTGAACTCGTAAACAAACCCCCTTAAGGGGATTTCTTCTTCTAAAAGAAATACCTCTCCTCAACCCCTGTAGCATCTTTTTCTCTCTCTTCCTTCCTGTCAGTTTCAGGACAAACAGTTGCGGTCAGAAGGGCTAGAGAAGAAGACGGAGAGAGTTTATTTCGTCCTCAATAAATTGGGTGTTATTCTCGGGTTCAAAGGAGGTCCACTCGGAAATGAAGCAGGAAAGCGAAGCAGCATCATACATCAGCGGGGTTGGGCCAGATTCCAAGTGATTGGGAGAAAATGGCATTTCTGACAAGGAGAACCTTTTGCTTTATATAATCACTTTGGAAAACGCAGCGTCTTGCACCCGTATATAAGCCCAGTATGACCCAACGAAGTCAGCGTCGCCAGGCTGAAAGAGCCGGGCGAACGAAGCACAAAGGAGAAACGCGAATGCTGATACGAAGACTTCGAGTTCATTTCAGATGAGGATAACGTTCAAGGGAGTGTCCCAGACTTCCTGCCTGGACGCTGAGCTCGGCTTTAGGGGAAAATCAGGGTCTGGTAGCCCCTTTTCGGGCTAACCCATTGTATTAAAAGGCATGCGCTTTCCTGAGCGTGTGGTAAAGCGAACTACAGCTCACGAAAGCATATGCCTTTTAATAAAATGTGTCAGTCTGAAAAGGGGCTACCAGACCCATGATTTTTGGCTTGCATGGACTACCACGGATCTCCTCCTATCGGCTCGGGAGGAAAGTATTCCAGAAACATTGTTTCAATCTGATGAATCTATACCTTTCTATACAGCCATTGTAGAGGACGGTCTCCACCTAGGACGAACTGAGGAAAGGTGGCGGGGTCGGGCGCGAGGCTCGGGAGGGCAAGGGTTTCACGCCACAGTTGCTTATAGCTGCTGCCGCCCAGCCTCCTGGCTCCGTGCTCTCCTGCCCTGTTTATTTGGATAGCCTTTCCGCTTTTTCAAAGGCGGATGACCCACGGCTGCAGCTTTCTTATAACCCGCGGGTCCCTTCCTATACACGGCACATTGCCCGCCAGATCTCGGTGGGTCTCAGCAAATAAAGAAACAAGTGTGTGTGTGTTTGTGTGTGTGTATTATCTGCTTCTGGTCAAGGAGCTAGGTCTTTCTTTGGTATTCTGGCTCCAGTTGGGATCTAAAGGAGCCAGAGATGGGATGAACCTCTGAGGCGGAGTTAAAGCTCACCCTGGCATGTGACCGGATGCTGCGAAGGTGAGCCAAGCGCCGCAGCTGGGTGGGAAAGTTCGCTCCTGGGTCTCCCTTATTGACCGCCGAGCTCCATTAGGTCCTTCAGGTACTCCACGGCTCCGTTTACGCAACCGGCTTAACCAAGTCACAGACTTAGCCCAGTTTGCAGAATGCATCCAAGTAAACTAATCGGACAGGCAGCCACAACAAATCAATCAATCAATCAATCAATCAATCAATCAATCAAACAAACAAACAAACAGGCAATCACAACAAACCAAGCTCAGTGTCGTTACTTGGCTTCCTCAGGCGGGCTGTGTGAACACAGATCTTACCTAGTAAGTGTGCAGTAAGTCTCCCGGGGATTCGTGGAAGCTCTTCTCCAGCAAGAGAGTGTGAGATTGTAGAAGTGAGGGAAAATGAAGCTGAAAATCCAGCCCTGCTGCTTCCTCAAAGGACCAGTCTCCAGACCCCCTTCTTGAAGCCCATCTTTCCCTATCGGGTAAGATTCCAAGCACATTCTATTTGGCTAAACCCCCTCCCGGTCCCCCCAACACGTACTCGAGGTGAGAACTGGCTTTGCTTTAGCCTGCCTTTTGGATCCCTCGCCCCAGAGAAAAGGTCCTGTCCGTAGAAGAAGCAAGAGAATCCTCCTTCTATGGACTTTGATGCTTAAGCGGGAGGAAAAATCAAGATCGCTGAAGGCAAATGAGGAGACCCAGTTTGATGCAGTGGTTAAGGCACTGGGCTAGAAACCAGGAGACCCTAAGTTCTAGTCCCGACTTAGGCACAAAGCTAGCTGGGGGCTTTGGGCCAGTCATTTTCTCTCATCCCTAGGAAGCAAGCAACGGCAAGTCACTTCTGAAATCTTGCCAAGAAAACTGCAGGGATTTGTCCAGGTAGTTGCCAAGAGTCAACACTGACAAAAAGAAAAAAGAAAAAAGTGTGTGGTGGTGGTGGTGGTGGGGGGGGGGAATGAACGTGCCCCGCACAACCGCCGTCAAATGGAAAGATCTGGGCTGCTTCGGAGACGACAGCGGGTTGGCTGGAGCCCCCTCAGACGTCCTGTAGACTTTCGCGGTGCCAGTGGTGAGGGATGATTGGAGTAGGGACACAGCAACACATGGTTAGGTCTCCGTCTGGCAAACGTGGGTATCACTGGCAGCAGGAACTGACTCCCGCAATCAAGTGCTGCTGCTGCTCCAGATGCGTTAGAATACATGTGGGGCTAGGGATGATGGGGAGTGTAATGGTTCCACATTGAAGAAGTCTAGTACAGGAAGGAAGGAAGGAAGGAAGGAAGGAAGGAAGGAAGGAAGGGACTTTGACTTGATTAAAAAGAGCTGGATCCGCTGGACAGTTCAATAATAATAATAATAATAAA